ATCATTTTTTTTTTTTACCCTATCATATAAAAAATTTAGGAGACTCCGTCTCTCTCCTCGACACATAATAACAAATTAACCTAATTACGTAGTCACCAAAGAATCCCAGTTTTTTGTGATTTGGAGTTATTACTTTCACAAATCAAAAATGAAATTATTCTCTCGTTAGGAAGTTGACACTTTTCACTGTCTCTATATCTAATCAACGGTTAACCAAGTATAATACATTTTTTTTCTATCTTTTTGTTTACCATTTTTCTTTTAAATTGGTGGAAAAAAAAAAATTTGTGGAACTTAAAGTCCTCCCCGCGGACCGAGGCAACCGCCGCGCGTACGGCGGGGAGCACCTGTTACCAATCCCCTTGTGACGTAACTGGAAAAAATGCTCTCCAAATCATTGTTTTTTTTGTGTAAAACCCAACATAACGGCACAAGAGCCTTGGGTAACCAGCTAAAACCCACTAACCTGTGCGAGAAAAATTGGCAATTCTCGTTTATTTAGCTGTCACCTTCAGAGTGTATGTGTGTGTCAATGTAACGTTTCACCTCGATACGCGTGCGTCAGCTTTCGTTACATTAACGAGACTTATTGACCTTTGGATCCGAGTTCTGATCTATATACTTCTACCGTAATAGTCCTTAGTAAGAGTTTAACTGTGTCTGTGGTAACCTAATTGGCAAGTCGTCGCAAAATAAACAAAACTGACGGTAACTTTGTATCCCTACCAAATAGCAATTTTAAAAATGGCCATGGCCAATACAATAGCGGCCTTTTTTTTTTTTTTTTTTTTTTTTTTTTGTTTTTTTTTTTTTTTTTTTTTTTTTTTTTTTTTTTTTTTTTTTTTTTTTTTTTTTTTTTTTTTTTTTTTTTTTTTTTTTTTTTTTTTTTTTTTTTTTTTTTTTTTTTTTTTTTTTTTTTTTTTTTTTTTTTTTTGTTTTTTTTTTTTTTTTTTTTTTTTTTGTGACCATAGCACAAATAAAAAAGCAATGATGAGACATTATCAATTTATTAAACCACCAGTAAAAATAAAATCCTTATACATAATGAAGTTCATATAACAACTATTCTAATTTGATACAGTAACATTAAAAGACGTCTTTTTCATAAGTTATAAATAATAAAATACTGAAGAGTCTCGTCGTTGGTTATTTATATTAATTATTGAAATTTCCCCGAGACTGAGTCGAGAGGATAGTACAGAAAACCCCCAAAAGGAGTCTGTCTCCATACTTATACAAAAAATTGTAAACATTTAGTCATATAGAAACAAAGTAGGCTGTAAAGTTTGCTGTTAGGATCGAGTTGTTCTTGCTAGCATATAATAGGACCTAACATGAAAATCTAGTAGTGTTTTAATGCTATTACACGACTTACTTTGTGCAGTTAACACTGACTTCTAAACCTTAGTACCTGTTTCGAAAACTCCGATATTTATACCAGATTAAGGATATACATTGCTGGTGTTTAACAACATTGGTATGATAAATTGCAAACAAGAGAAATTATTAAATTATACGTCAAAAGGTTTAAGTGTTCCTGTAGACATCAAAATTGACCAAAAATAATAATTCGTAAAGTTTACTTTCCGTTAATAATATCCACAATCACTCGAGTGCCCTAATATATAGACAGTCACAATTATTTTGATTTTTTCTGTTGCCGATTACACGGACGTTATCTGAAGTGAGTCCATTTGTGTTAATAGTAAGGGACACGTGTCGTCTATTGGACGAGACCTCGAGAAAGCAAGCAAGTCAAAGAAAAAGTGTGACCGGGCGTTAGCAAAAGAGTTCAACGTACTTCTCATACCAATCGCACGAATAGAAAGATCAGTATAACTAACGTCCCATCAATAGTACAGAGTGTGTTTATTACTTCTGCGACAACTCTCTCGTACCTGATCACCGTAAAAGTGCACCGGTTGAGTTCCCCAGAGTTTTGGCCTATATCAGTGGCGGCCATTACTCCAAGCGTCTGATTTTTACGTCTAAAACTATTCAATTAATCGACAACACTTTCAAACCTGAATCTGTACGCACACACACAAAAACAAATAAATTTGGCTATCGGTTCGTGCAACGAGGGGGCGGAACGCCTAAATTGACCAAAATGGCTATGACGCTTGTCCATGGCCAATCACTACAATCAATGGTCTTCAAGAGCAGAGGATTACTTGCTGCGTAAAAGTCTATCTTGGTTGTCGATACCATTCTCGAAGGAGTTACTACGAATACACAACAACTATAGAAACGCTAGAACTATGTTCAATCTGAATTTACTTTACAATAAAACAATTATATATTGATTCTAACTTTTCTACATTCAACTCACAGGTTTATCATTGCTTTGAGAAAAAGGGGCAGCAATTTTATAAGGAAAAACCTGATTAGAATTCACCATCACACACAACAACTATCTTTTCTTATCTCGAGTGTCAACACTAACTAACAAGACTGCCGTTGATCAGCTCAAAAACAGTCATCATCAGCTAATAACACTCTTTAAAAACATAGCTTTAAGCAAAGATGGGGACAAAAATGGAAACACTCATCCTCGTCCAGCCAAGCAGGATATGCAGCACATAGTACGAGGGCGCTAACGAATATTACGGCCAGCCAACTTCCTGGCGAAATAATGCATTAGACTAGATCTAATTAAAAAAAAAAAAATCACAGTTTAAGTTTAAGCCTGCTGCCTGCCACTCGTCCACCAGCAGACCAACCGGAAACTAATCCACTATTTATTCGGAGGGCCATGAAAACAAAGCTGCCATCGGACTGTCTATTTGACACAATTTTCATATTTTTTGGGTAATTATACTGTTTTTGACGAACAGAAATATTGTTTTCTGGCATCCCTTTAACATTTTACGGGAAAAATCGACATTTTGATAAGAGGGCGCCGGTGCAGTGCCCCTGTAAACCCTGCATCAAACAAAGACATGTAATGAATTAACACCAGTCGCAGCAGACTGGTGAGGATAATGTGTGTTTTTATGATGCTTTTAACACTTACTAGCTGCAGTGAAGCCGGGGGCTGCCGATGCTTGCATAGCCTCCCGTCTGTAGTCCCTGTCTTTGGGGAAACTGTTGACAACCGCAGTCTTTGTCGTCTCTTTTTGTTTCTGTTCTCTGTAAGACACAAACAAGTATGCATGAAACCAGTTATTCGTTTATCCAATCTCTACGAGGCACCTATTTAAAAACTCAAATGTATGGAGTATGTACAAACAAGCGGTTGACGTCAAGGGTTTGTAGCTACCTCTCCAACCATTCTTTAGGCTTCTCCCACTGGGACACCTCTGTCCTGCAGTTGTAATAATATTTCTTTCCGGACGAGCTGATGTGCTCTGACCAGTCGTCCCCGGGTTCGTGAGGCTGTGAAGAAGAAGAGCACATATTAAGCTGCAGGAGCCAGCCAGCCAGAAAACTATTGTGTGCAAGGGTGTTGTGAGGGGATGTGATGCAAGAGCTTGTAATGACATCTGAAAAGTACAAAAGATATAGGCAGAAGCTTTTTAAGCGGAAGGCAAGGCTTATTTCTGATAGTGATCATGATACCTGAGGTAACCAAAGTGAAACAGAATGCAGAAAATTAGAACAAAATTGCACACCGTTACCATTTTACAGTGTAATCCAGTGCTTCATTGAAGTCTTGATATGACGAGACAAGCCCATAGAAATTAATCATGTCCATTACTTAAGCAAACTTGAAATGACCGTAACAGTGTGGCTGATCCCTCTATGTGGCAATATATCATCGATTATCAAGCCTGCAGATTTTGAATTGGCTATGACGCACTTTGCTCTCTCCATTTTCTTGGTTCAAACGATAGCAATGCAACTATATGTAGTAGTTAAGGTTGTGCACTGATTGTTTCAAGACACATATCTTTGATCAGCGTTGTATAACTACAGTACAGCATAAACTACCAAGAAAAACTGTTGCGTTGTGCTGTGTTGTGTTTTAGTCCACCGTGCCCTCATGCCGAGGCGAAGGAAACACTTACTGTGTCTGAGGTCTTGCTGGGGTTAGAATGTGAGTTGGAGCTATGAAGGGAACTGTGGTTGTGAGAGTTTTCTTGTGGAGAAAAACTGGTCCCTGCAACAAAACACAAAAAGAGAGACAACGGTAATTTGTGACAAAGATGTAAACCCCCTCTAGCCCCTACCCTCCTTTCAAAAACAAATCACAAAGATGACATATTTCTAATTCAACTTGCCAAAAGGTGACAAGTTTTAATTGAACACTATAGCTTTAAAAGGTGGGGTAGGTAATTTTGGAGAAACCAGCTCGAGTGCGCTAGAATTTTAAAATACACAGCCGGAAAAAATCTGCCACTTCCTTACAGAGCCCCTCCTCCAACACACACGAACGCACACATGACCAATGAGGGCACAAGATAATTTTGTGCGCAGATGGAAGGCCCGGCTAAAATGATTGGTCGTGCTACGGCTTCCACAGAGGACATTTTTGTATGGATTTTTTGTCAAAGCACTTAAGATATTCATTGCTATCGGGATGTTAAAGAGCAACTTCCAGGTTAAAGACACCTGTGAATAAATGTGTAGGAAAATGATGAATACACTAGATTTTCTAAAAAATATACAGAAATATACACTACAGTGACATCTGGCGTCGTTTTTGTAAGAAATGTTCACTTCCGCATAAAAAAGCCTCGGCACGTGACCTCCCGCGTGTGACGTAACACGGGGGACACAAGGGGGAGAGCGGCCGGTGTAACGTATTAATAAACATGGATCCCAATACTAGTTTCGACACAGAAGAAGTTGAACATGAATATTCAAATGCATATGACGGACCACAACCTTATAATTATGAACCTACTAGGCGTCCAAGAGACCAGGAGCAGCCAAGGATTAGAAGAAATAACGGCGATCGGAGAGAAATTGAGCTGTGGTGTGAGGAGAACTAGTGGAGAACTGGGCAGCTATCTTGGTGAGTGACCGGCGTTAGCTACAGAATGTTAGCTAACGTCACATCACAACATTGTGAAGTTAGCTATCATATATCAGGCTATAACTAAAGTAGCATTGATAATATAGTAACGTTACTGGCAGGACTGTTGATATAAACTAATGCGCAAGTATCAGCCGTATCTTGCGTTACCTAATGCAACTCCACACTACGGTGCTGTGTACCG